ACACATCAATCAAAATTTATGTGGTGCAAATATATTAGTCAACAATGATTTTTTTAAAGTCGAGCCCTTCTTTTGTCGCCCATCAACCAGCTAATCATTCGTTCAGTCAGTCAGTCATTTGCTCCATCATCCATGAAGACGAAAGCAAATATTTTTTGTAAAAAAAAACTCATCATTTGCTCATACATGACACGACCCAACTGCATAACAACGATCAAAGAAAGGTAGGTCAGGACGTCTCATTCATCTGTTTGTTTGAGGGCTCCACTCTGAGTTTGGATCGTTCGTTAGATCCTGTGTGTTCATGCTTTTGTTTGTATTCAGTTTTGTAATTGCGATGTTTTGGTAAGTGATGTATTTAATTAAAATTGTGAACGTACGTATATTCGGCTATAATTTCATTAATAGCCTAGAAATTATTTAGAGTGTATATGTACATAATGACAAAAGGGAGCACATAAGCATTTTGAAGTTCCATCTATATAATGTGTGTGTGTGTGTCTGTGTGTGTGTGTGTGTCTGTGTGTGTGTGTGTGAAGAAACTAGATAAAAAGTGAAGTTAATTCATTGGATGCCACGTTAATTTGTTGGAATTATAAATTAATTTGATGTAACAGTGTGTCCACCCATACGAGAAAAATCAATGTTAGATTGCTGCAAACTTGAAACGTGTCTGCAGAGGTCCTTACTCATGAGTTGATTAAGTGAATTATTTATTCAGTAATAAATTTAATATCAAAACAAGACAGTTAAAAACAACCAGACTATAGACAGGCAACCAACCATCCAACCAACTAACCAACCAACCAAACAACCAACCAAACAACTAACCAAAGAATGAACCAATTAACAAACCAATCAAACAATCAACCAAGCAAGCAACCAACCGACTAACAAACCAACTAATCATTTTATTCACCAGTCAACCAACCAACCAACCAGCCTACCAACAAGCCAACCAATCAGCCAACCAACCAGCCAACCAACCAGCCAACGAACCAGCCAACCAACCAGCCAAACAACCAGCCAACCAACCAGCCAACCAACCAATCAACCAACCAGCCAACTAACAAGTCGATCAATCAATCCCAACAGCACAAATGAAATGTGGCCTTCTGACGAGGTCACATTGAACAAACTAACTCTTGTTGTAACACAAACACGCACGCACACACACACACATGCACACATACATGCACACTTACTCACACACACCAAAAAATATACATGAAAGCAGAGAGCCAAAAATGCACACAGACGTGCTTACATACACACACATCCCAGACACACACAAATATATATATATATGTGTGTGTGTGTGTGTGTATAATATATATATATATATATATATATATATTCAACCATATATAATTTATACAAATATATAAATATATATCCAAAAAAAAATAATGTGTAATAATTTTATTGTTTTTGTGCGTAGGTGTGTGGGTCTCGCAAGTAACTTGCAACATCGTTCGTCGTTTGTCGTTTGATGTTTGGCGGGTGAGGAATGATTGAAAGAATGAAACAAATGAATGAATGAAAACTCACACGCTCACTCATTCACTGTCGGTAAGTATAGAAGAAATAATACAGGAAGCGCAAGTGACCAGGAAGACATTATGATAATGATGATAGTGGTGGTGATGATGGTGATGGTGATGATGGTGGTGGTGATAATGGTGGTGTGATGATGGTGATGATGATGAGGAATATGTTTTTATGACGTAATAATGATGTTGATGGTTAGAATATTGTGAGTGATTATGATGACTATGTTGATGTTTTTGTTGATGATAATAATACCTGTACCAAAAATATTCTCTGATTTTTTATTAATTTAATTAATTAATTACATATATATATATACATATATATATATATATATATATATATATATATATTTGTAACAGACTTTTGTTAACGCAACATTTCAAAAATTCAACACTACTTTCAACATTGTTCAACTTTTTATATTTCTTTTTAATTTATTAATTTCAGAGAAATTAGACATTTTATTGTTTTTTAAAAATTTTTATTAAATAAATTTGCAAATAGCTATTTCGGGTTATAGATAACTCATCTTCAGTGCATTATATATAAAATATGTAAGATATTTGATAAGAAAATATCTTACATACGTTGTTCCTTTTCACTTTCAATGGTAAATCTAAGTTTTGATTTGTTTAAGGTACCAAGAAGTTGGGTGATTTGTTCAGGATCGTTATAGGAGACAAAGATATCATCCACGTATCTGGCGTACATATTTGGTTTTAAACTTGCATTGTTTTTGAATGTTTCATTCTACAGCTGTCCTAGGTAAAAACTGGCAAATAGGACGCCAAGGGGGGAACCCATAGCGACACCATCGATTTGCTTGTAAAGTTTGCCTGTGGGGCTGTGGAATGGTGCTTCAGTAGTGCAAATTTTAAGAAGGGACTTCAGTTGTGCTTTCGGTATGCTCAATGGAACCATATCTGAGTGGTAAACGGTGTTGATAATTATGTCGATTGTGCCATGAATTGGTACATTTGTGAATAATGATTCAACATCCAGAGAGGCAATAAATTTGGATGGTTCATTAATGCTGAGGAGATTAATAAACTCACGGGAAGATTGTAGTGTGTAATTGTTTGGAATATATGGGGTTAAAATTTTGTTCAAGAATTTTGCAACAGGGTAGGTGACAGTTGTAATTTGGCTAATAATTGGTCGGATGGGATGATTATTTTTATGCGTTTTTATATTTCCATATAAGTAGCCAGGAGAGTATTCGCCTATAAATGATGGAAGTTTGTCATCGGTGATGTGCTTTCTTATCTTCTTAATTATTGTGTTTAGTTTAGTTTTTAGTTGAGGAGTGGGATCTTTTTTGATTACTTGGAACTTTTTTGTATCATTGAGAACATCATTGAGTTTTTCATGGTAATCGGCTCGGTCGATAATGATATATGTGTGTGTGTGTTTGTTTATATTTGTGCGTATTGAATGTGCTTTTTTATAAAAGCTTCCTCTGCAAAGCCTGAATTCCCCGAACAATCAATTAAAAATTACTTTGAATTGAATGAGGGTGTATGAATGAAGGATGAGTGGATGAATGAATGAATGAGTGAGTGAATGAGTTAATGAATGAGTGAGTGAATGAACGAACGAATGAATGAGTGAGTGCATTAATTGATATTAGTGTATTACAAATGTATGTAGGAGCTTGAAAACCCCGTCAAATGATGTTTACTAGTCCCGATCAGGTAAGATTCGATTCAATCTAAAGCTCTGTTCGGTTCAACTGCGAGAAATGAAAACAATGAGTTAAACAACATAAAAATTAAAATTAACTTTATTGACATCACTCTTTGGGAGAAAACGATCCGTTTGGATTGGCCGTAAGAAAAGTTTTGTTCGTCCGTTCGTTCGTTAGTTCGTTGGTTAGTTCGCTGGTGGTTCGTTCGTTTGTTGGTTGGCTCGTTTGTTGTTTTGTTGATTCGTTTAATTCTTTCTAATCTTCAGTGAAAGCCTCTCTATCAACTACTCACTCACTCAATTACTCTTGATGCGAACCTTAAAAACATCATCGTTTCAAAATTTCGATCGTCAAAATTTCGTCCCAAAAGTTTTTGAATCCCGATGAAATTAAACTCTGGAAAAAGTTACGAGAAAAAGCAAAGAAGGTGATGAGCTGTTGTTGAAGAAATTAATCTTTTAATCGAATATTCGGAAATTATTAGGTGTTCATAACAACTTTCAATTCAAAAATGAAAAAAAATGACGATTTTATATAATTTCGAAATCAGCGTTTTTTCCGCCCATCCTTTTGCCTCAATATCACAACACAAAACAACAACACAACAACAACAAAACATCAATAACAAAACAACACAACACAACAACAACAACAAAAACAAAACAACAACAACAACACAACAGCAACACAACAACAACACAACAACACCCAAACAATAACAAAACAACAACACAACAACGACTTGTGAAAGAGCCGCATGTTAGAATCTTCACAGCATGTTGATTGATTGATTGATTGATCGATCGATCGATTGATTCTATTTTAATGAAAAAACTATAATGTCGAATTGATTGCTTTGATGTTTCGTACAATTCCGGGAAGTGGAAAAAATAGAAATGGGGTGTTTGAAGTGTGAGGCCGGCGCAGTTACACGCCACTCCAAACACAAACAACACGCACGAACTTGCGTGCATTCAACGATTCACACGTACGAAAATAAACATCTTTTTGAATTAACAACTGCAACCGCAACACACGCTCATCATGTTGAAAATCAAAATATCAAGCGAAATATCTGAAACTTAAAGAATAGTGATATAATAAAAAAATATAAAAAAATACTTATGAACCAATTATGTAAAAGGATTATTCAAATAAAAATAAATAGAGGAATAAATAGAGGAATGAATGAATGAACGAACGAATGAACAAATGAATGATTGAATGAATAAATGATTATGTAAATAAAATAAAAATGAAATAAATAAATAAAAAGTGCATCACCCATCTACATGGTGCACTGGATTAAAATGATGGGGGATGCAGAACATGGAAGCATCACATATCACTTTATGTCATTTTATTTCTGATATCTTCCAACTAATTTTTTTTGTTAAACTAAAAGCTTACGGCATAACTGGAAACTTACTGGGTTGTTTAACTGAATCTCTGCATGAGTGTTCACAAAGAGTCCAGATTCAAAATAAACTTTCCCGTCAGAACCAGTGACAAGTGGTGTCCCTCAAGGCAGCGTTCTCGGACCCACCCTGTTCCTCATTTTTATCAACGATATTGATGATTGTATTTCCCTGCAGCCTGCTTCCATCCTGTTTTTGCGGATGATGTAAAAATGTACTCCCGTTTTTCTAACTCAGCTCAGTTGCAACAGGTCATCAACAACATTGTCGCTTGGAGTAAACAATGGCAACTGCCACTCTCTCCAAATGCTCTAAATCTTCATTACTTCCTTCACCACATCTTAAATCCTCTTGAGCACATTAAAGATCTTGGTGTAATAATCAGCAATCGTTTCAATTTCATTCGGCACATCAATGACATTACTCGTTATACCTACTACTCGAATTGTCATTTCAATATGACTGTTGAAGTGTGTGGAATGGTTTTTTGGTTGGTGTTTGTATGCATGGATTGTACATTGCTGTTGAATGAAAGGTTTGATCAATTGATTGTTGATTGATTGATTATTTGAATTTCGTGATTACGATATGATACTTATTTAGTATTGATCTCTTTTTCCTTTTCTGCCATTTTGTTTAGTTGTAATTGTCTGTTATTTTTTTCTGACCGGGCAAGTAGCCTGTGTGGTCCTCGGGTCAGTTGCTTAATAAATAAATTATTTTTTAAAAGTCGTCACTCATTTTCAACATTACTACCACCACCACCACCATCATATTCATTTTACTGAACATTTTCTTTCCAACATCCGCACCTTCCACATACTACAACACATAACTTTGTGAAATGTGGATGTGGATGGAGCTCATATAAATTTTTATATATTATTAAAAATGTTGAGTTTTTAATATATTTTTTTTTCTGAAATTAAAAAAAATTATACTTGAAAGATCATTATGATCATCATCATTATGATCGTCATCACTATTGATAGTGCTCATTTGTGACGTCACGTGCAATACGTTAGCTTTCCCTCCTTCTTCAGTGATGATATTACAACAACAACAATAATAATAATAACCGTCCTGACAATCATTCAAAACAAAAAAAAGAAATATGCTTGCTACCTTATGGATATTGTAGTGCCTAACGATGCAAACGTTTCAAACGAAGAAACAAAAAAAAAGTGAATACACAAATTGAGAAATCGAAATAAGCAGCGAGAAAGAGGTGATCGCATTTGTAGCTGACCACTGGGCGAAGTCAGAAATGAAATAGACGGACATCTACAAACAAACACACCCCGATCACCCAACGATTTGAGGTTCAAATGATCGCATTGGTGGAAACAGCACACATTCTTCCTCTGATCTGGATTGATTCCCCATTTTCTGCAAAATGATGCAAGAAGAAAAATATAAATATCAAGAATGATGAAAAGGATAATGATGATAATAATGATCAGATGAATGAATGAGACATGATTGAAGGAGGGACAGCAAGCAAGCAAATAACACGCACCAGTGGATAATTTGCAGACGAGTTATTAATTGAATGAATGCCATCCAGCATTTCATCACGTCTCCTTTCAACAAGCACGATCATTACCACACCACCTACCCCTTCATTTCTCATTTTCTATCAGCTTTTCATTTCTAATATATTTGGAAAGAGAAAAAGAGGCAAAGAAAGAGAAAAACAGAGATACAAGCTGTCACACACACACACACACTAACACATACTCACACACATTTTCAAACAGACACAGTTTTAATGTACGAAAAGAATTATTTGGGATGTGAACTTAACAACTTGTTAGAAAATAATTGCTGGTTGATTTATTATCAAATCATGAACACCAGACCAGACAGACTTTACAACAGGCCACCATCTTTAGAATATTTGTTACGTACAGAGTGTCCGAGTCGAAATCGGTTGGAATCGGTTGGAGTCGGTTGGAATCGGTCGGAATCGGTTGGAGTCGGTTGGAATCGGTCGGAATCGGTTGGAGTCGGATATTTTTGCCACAGTCAAAAATTTTGAGGGCCGAGTCGGAGTCTGACATTTTTCACCCGACTCCGACACTACGCTACCCAACAACGCGTCTCATTACTTCAAACTCCAACCTGCACAACCGCAAGCACGTGCAGTTTTTGACAACAAAAACTAGACCAGCGGACAGAACAAATTTCTTAATGTTTTTTTTTAGTTTTCATTATTGCAGCTCTGACATACGAAGAACCCCAATGCTACAGCTATATTATCTGCGTATCTTTTATTATGCTCTTCATAACTTCAACCATTGATTTGAAGCAGCCATCTTCGCCACAAAGGCTGTTTTTGAGATTTATACAATGTTCTATTTGAATTAAGACCATCTATTGATTATTTAATACTTCGTTACTTTGTAAGCACTCTGTAACACTCAAAACGGGACACTTTGTCGGATTGTTATACTAATCTTTATGATGGATTGTTCTACTAATTTTTTATAGTGAATCTTTCATTAAGTGATTGTGATAATAACGCTGCGTTGTTCTGTGTTACTGCGTTATACGTGATGGAATTAATTTGTTGAAATACATAGCCAGATGTTCCAATCTTGCAATTTGTATATCAATCATTTATGTAGTTATTGTTGATAAACACACCATTATTCAATTTAAAATTTAATTTTTACTTATTTAATATTATTATTTTATTTAATTAATATTATTTAATTATTTAATAGAAATAAAAATTTTTGTAATACAGTTCGTGATTCATTTATCTAGAAGACAGAAAAATTATAATCTAAATATAAACCTCCATACAGACCAACTGCGATAATGGCACAATGATGGTACCTGCGTTGTTGTGTTGGTGGGTGTGACCCGTCCATTTGGCATGTTCTATGAACTTCAATTACTCAATAACGTACATGCAACGTTTATATACGTTGTGTGTATGTGAGCTAGCTATGTGTGAGTTTGATCTTGTGTGTGTGTGTGTGTGTGTGTGTGTGTGTGTGTGTGTGTGTGTGTGTGTGTGTGTGTGTGTGTGTGTATAAACGTTGTATGTATGTATGTATGTATGTATGTATGTATTTATGTATGTATGTATGTATGTATGTATGTATTTATGTATGTATGTATGTATGTATGTATGTACGTGTGTGTGCGTGTAGGTAAATATTAGGTACTTCTGAGTAGCAATAGCAACAAACATACAGAAAATTTAAGATTGGATTAAATTGTTAACGTTATTATGTTGTTGTTTTTGTTGTTGACCAACTGTTAAGTGGTTGTAGTGTTGTTATCATCATCTTGTTGATGTGCATGAAGTTGTAAAGTTTTATTTTCCTGGGGTCCAGTTGAATGAAGGTGTAGGTCCTGTTTGCATGCTGGTAGAATGTTGTGTGAATTGGTTTTGTGTGCATGTTGGATGGTGTTGGTGAGTGTGGTTAGTATGTTTGAGAATGAATGGTTTTTCAGCTGGTTTTGTTTGGATTGGTATTTAAGCGTTTTAGACAATGGTCCTTGGTGGGTTCCTGCGTGATTTCGTTTTGTTTCTCTAGCATGGTTATTGGTGCGGTTGGTTATTGGTTATTTATTAGTCATTGGGGATAGGGTTCTGATTGTTCCGCCTTCTTCTTGGAGTTTCGTTTTTTTTTATTATCGCTGTTCGGTTTCTGTTGCATTGAAATATTTAGGGGTCTGCCATTTAATTTAAAGAACGTTGAAAGTATTTTTTTGGTTTGTTTTGTTTCAATAAATTTATTTTACTTAGTTTTTGTTCTTCGTACCTAAAGTCTAAAATATGTCAGAAGAAGACTTGTCAGCGGGCCTGATAACCGACTGGCAAGCAAGGCGCAAAAGCTCTTCCGCTCGGCCCTTGTTTTCCGACCCGGAGATAAACATTCGTGAAGAGGCGAGTCGCGGCCAGAAGCAAGACTGCCTAGACTGACGGAGGCGTTTGTTGGTGTTCCGCCGCGAAACAATAATTCACATAGTTATTTTCATGAATTTGTGGCTGTATTAAGTGCTTTTGCAACATTCTATGTTCTTGTGTTGTTCTGATCTGCATTTGATGTTGTTTTGTATGTCGCGATGCAGTTGTTTTGTCTTGTTAAATACGTTGTTGTCGTTGTGACATATGTTGTTTGTTGTTGAGTTTTACTCGCTCTAGATATAGAACGTTACTTTTTTGTGCCGATGTGTTGCACGTTGTTGCTAGGTTATTATCATAATGGTGTTTGCTATGTTGTTGTTATTATTATTATTGTAATTATTATTATTATTATTATGTTGCTGTTGTTGTTGATGTTAATGTTGTTATGCGCGTTAAAAGCGGAGACATGACATCAGAGAGCAGCCTGAAGCCCAACCTCATAACGAACGCCAACAGCTCAACGTGCCACAACTTAATAAACCACAGAAAATGTAAAAGATGTTGTTGTTGTTGTTGCAGCATCAGCAGGTCTCCTCCAAGTTCTGCATGTATTTTGCATCATGTAACACCAGCATGTTGTCAGTAAGCAGAACCTTTTATTCTTACCACCATGTTACACATCACGCAACATAGTTCGATGCTTTCATTTTTGTTTGGTAATATTCAACTTAATGGCGGATATAATTAAATTAAGATTTTCATAATTTTCAATAGTGTGGTCGATATTTTCGTTGAAAAGTTGAATGTTTTGGACGGCACAACGGTGCAACAGTTGAAGAGGTCTGACCCTGCTAAACGGCAGTGGCTGGGTTCGATTGCAAGAAGAGAACTCTGCCTATCATGGGCTCTCTCATGCATACGTTCAAACTGTGTAGAAGCTCTGGAACATGCAGGAGAAAGGTAAGGGAAAGAGTTGTAACTTTTTAATTATGCATTTCCAAGTGAATGATGATGATGACGATGACGACGATGATGATGATGACTATGATGATGATGATGATGATGATGATGATGGTGATGATGATGATGATGATTAATAAGATAATGAAGACAATGATTGTTACAATAATGATGATGGTGATAATGATGACGACGACGATAATTAAAATGATATGATGATGATTGAAACTATACGGTGATAATGATGGTGGTATTTAATTGAGGTGATGATGACTACAATCATATTGTTATAATATTCGCTGTCGTAACAGATTTACGATGCGACGGGTTCGAATCTTCGATTGAATAAAATACTCCAAACAGTTATTAGTTATTAAACTTTATTTACAGAAGAAATCAACTAATCGTTTATTTCTAGCAAATTCAAATTAACGCAACAATTAACTTTTAAATTGTTCAAAATCTATCGTTATGACAACGTCAACAAACAAATCAAGTATCGCTTTAAATAATTCACCGAATCGCTATTCACAAAATCACAATCACAAAGTCCCGAATTTGCAAAATCACGAATTTCACTAATCGCTAATCTTCTATACTCTTCGCAAGCGTCGTTTCTAGATTTTTCTAGATGGTCCGATTCTAGCATATTCTAGAATGTTCTAGTGCGTTCGGTAGCACGGTTATAACATTACCCCCTTCTTAGTTCTGTTCGTCCCGAACAGCTTTCGTTCCGGTGTCCTCATGGTACGGAGCCAGTCTATCCAAATGAACCATCTTCATTCTTGCTCTCGGCTTCCGATATTCCTGAATACGGTAGACGACGTCATTCAAGCGGGTGATGACTTGATAAGGTCCTTCCCACCCTCGCTGGAGCTTTGGAGAACGTCCTTTCTTCTTTACCAAAACAACTGGCGAAATCCAGGGACTTGATGACGGTTCGATGACGCCTTGATTCTGCATTGTCGTTATCATTTCGTTTACTTCTGTTTGTTTTGCTAGAGGAAGACGTCGTGGTACTTGTCGGATCGGTTTCGAATCCTGAGTATCAACTCGGTGAGTTACCAGAGCTGTTTTACCTTGGTCATTGTCACCGGTTGAAAACACGTCTGCAAAATCAGCAATCAACGCCTCGGCTTTTAGACGGTCTTCTTGATACAAATTGAGTTCATCCAGTAGATTTTTGGTAAGTTCTTTGAGTCTACCTTTGTCAGTTGGTAGAACCTTTTCCTGTTGCTCCATATCTAATGATTTCACCAAATTTATTGATTGGCAATTACCTATTTCCTCGCCTTTTTTAATTTTAATAGTGTGTTTAGCGGTATTCATTATTCTGACAGGAATAAGACCATTTTTGTTCGCTTCTACCAGGCATTTTCCAATGACCGCGTTCTGTACATTTGTCGTTGAGGTTGGCTCTATCAAATAGTATATTCTAGAATGTTCTAGTGCGTTCGGTAGCACGGTTATAACAATATAGATGCGCATATTGATGACGTTCGAAAAAGGGATAGTAATAATGGATGTATTGTGATGGATATCATGATGAATATCATGATATATATATTATGATGATGATGATGATGGAAATCGTGATAGATATATTATGATGATGATGATGATGATGATGATGGATACCATGATAGATATAAGATGATGATGATGATGGAAATCGTGATAGATATATTATGATGATGATGATGGATATGATGATGATGATGATGATGATGATGATGATGATGATGATGATGATGATGGTGATGGATATCATGATGATGATGATGACAATGACGGTGATGGTGATGATGATGATGATGATGATGATGATGATGATGATGATGATGATGATGATGATGATGATGATGATATTGATGATGATGAGGTTTGTTTCGGTCGCGATTACAGTGACCATGGGATTAATTTTTAACATCTTTTGCTTTGTTCAAAAACAAATATAAGAATAATAGTGAGGAGGATGATGATGAAAACTATTTAATCAATTTTTACAGTTCGCATTTCACTACGCGTGTTCGTTCAAACAATAACATCAATAAGGCAATGAAATATTGATGACATTAACTGGAGCAGACAGCAAGAGTGACATTCGCGTGTCAGCATTACAGACGGCCGACTAAACAGACATCAGACAGACGGACACACACACGCACACACACACACAGACGGACGGACATCCAGACATAAAAACAAACAGACAGCCAGACAGGCCAACAGACAGAAAAATAAATGTCGCAGTAGGTTGTTGTGCCATATAGTCAATCGTAAACATCCCAATCGTAACAATCATCTCTTCCAAATAAATGTAGTTTGTTGAAAAAATAAATTATTTTGATAATTCAAATGGACTACATCAAGCGAATGAGATACACGCACCGTGTTTTAAGGGTATCCTGAAATAGATATCCTTAAAGGGTCTCATTGATATCCTATCGTACCTAAAAATGCATGATGTGATTGCATGATGGTTGTGGCTGGTTATATATGCGATCACATGTGTTGATTGTTGTCGACCTGTTTCTTTCATGCTCCTATCATCGTCTTCTTCATCGTCTTCTTCATCATCTTCGTCATCTTCTTCATCATCTTCTTCGTCATCTTCTTCATCTTTTTCTTCTGTTCCAGCAGTTGTTCATCTGGAAACTTCAAAACAGTTGTTCTGTTAATTATTTTTCTGCTTTAATCTTTTATTTAATTTATTTACTTTCTTAAAATTCTACAGCACATTTATTAAGTTTAAGTATTTCAAATTTTTTCCAACAACTCTAACAATATATACAAAAATTCACGATTGAAGCGATCAAAAATAAATGAAGACAATTTAAAACAGGAGCTGTTTAGAACTCAATTTGCCATATTATTACATTCTGTATTGCGTCAATACTTAGTACAAAATACATGGTTTTAAAACTTAAAAAATAATACAATAAACACACACACATACAAACACACACACATTTACCCATTGATTCATTCACTTATACACACACACACAAATACACACACACACACACCACACACACACACACACGCAAACACACAAAAGCTTTGAACTGTTACACCAAGAGCCCAAAAGCCTAAGCATCGAAATTTCAATTAACATTTGAACCCAACCAGAAATTCAGGCAATAACGTAATGAAAATTATTTAGCTGTCGGGGGTCTTTGATGGTGATGATTATGGTGATGATGATGATGGTGGTGGTGATGATGAGGATGATAATGATGATGTTGGTGATGATGATGATGTTGATATTAAAATAACATTCCCGATGGTGAAGTTAATAGAACACTGCAAGTATGATATAACGAACTAAGAAGATGAATAATGGCTAGCAAACAAATTCAATAAAAATGTTTATGCAAGAAGTCAACGCAGCAACCAAAAGGTGTCGGAATGTTGTTAATGAGGATGTTGATGTTAATGATGATAACTAAATGAATGACAGTGGTAAAATAACAAGCCAACACTAAAACACACACACACAGACACAGACAGAACAATCCAGATGAAGAAATCCCAGATGTAAGATAAGAAAGAAGGAGATAGTAGACATCTGTTGCAAGACAAAAATTTTCCATCCAGCATTTTGCCACTAACGCTAGCAAGTAAATCACCAAACAACAAACAACAACAATCACCAAACAACAGTAGCAGCAGCAGAAACAACAGAGGGTTGTAGTGAAAGAACACATGTTGCATCTGGACTGCTGGTAGGCTTCTCATTAATTGACGACACCAAGTTGCGTAATTTCATGCCACATGTGCGCAGACACCGTCTACCCACAAACAAACATTTGCATACAATCATACATTTGCTGGTAGAAGACCAAATTCTTGACAGTATGTAATAAAGTCCACTGGTTTATTAGCGTTTATCAACTTGTATTCGAATTTTTCAATTTGTCTTAGTAAATTTTTATCAACTAATTGAGTCTGTTTAAAATTGAAGCTTTATTTCTATTAACAAACATTTTATTAAAATTATTGCAGAAAGATCTATATCGACGTTAAATCGTCATTGTCGGTGCGTTATTAATAATATTATCGTATTATTTATTAAATTATACATTTATATATGTGCGTGTGTGTGCGTGTGTGTGTGCGTGTGTGTGTACATATACATAGTGTTTTTATGTCTTTATATGTGTATGAATACATAATTTTAAGTATATGTATAAAACAACATGTATTAATTAATGTGTGTGTGTGTGTGTGTGTGTGTGTGTGTGTGTGTGTGTGTGTGTGTGTGTGTGTACGTAATTTAAATTAAATAATTTTGCGCGTGTGGGTTTGATTATATAAAAATTCTAATTCAAATACAGACAAGTACATGAGGATAATTATGTGCGATGCTGTGCACCTTCCAGATGATGGCGTCTCACGGGACATTTTGTTGCACCAAATTGTGAGGTGAGCGTTTCAGTGCAGTAGGGCGATTAAAATTTGAAGTTTGGAGCAATCCGTGCTGGAGAAGCAGAATCCTAAGTTAGTAGAACTCAAAACTGACAGGCTTGTTACAATATCGATTGCCTTTTGTTGCCAACAACGCAGCGACGTCTGAAAAAAAAAATGAAACCGACCGGCTGGATGTTATTTCTTCATTCGTTATTTCGTTCGTTCGTTATTTCGTTCGTTCGTTATTTCGTTCGTTCGTTATTTCGTTCGTTCGTTATTTCGTTCGTTCGTTCGTTCATTCGTTCATTCGTTCATTCGTTCATTCATTCATTCATTCATTCGACAATTCATTCATTCATTCATTCATTCATTCATTCATTCATTCATTCATTCATTCATTCGACAATTCATTCATTCATTCATTCATTCATTCATTCATTCATTCATTCATTCATTCATTCATTCATTCATTCATTCATTCATTCATTCATTCATTCATTCATTCATTCATTCATTCATTCATTCATTCATTCATTCATTGAACCTTTTCCGCTTTCGTTGAAGGGATGAAAATAATTTTAAATTCTAAAAAACGAAATGAACGATAAATTTTCATATCACTGTATAAGGATGAACTTCATTATGGTAATGTTTATAATAAAATATTTCAGTTTAATGGAAATTTGTTCACATTTTTGAGACCATTGCAGTGGAGACGACAAATTTCTCAATGTTCACTCAATCATTCAATAACAACATGTCATTCCAAACACACACACACACACACACACACACACAGTTTGTTATGGGTTCAAAAATACATGCATGCATGCATACAAACTTACATACATACAAACAAACAAACAAACACACATACATACATCCACCCACCCATGCGTCTATCTATCCATCCATTAATCCATTCTTCCATCTATTCACCCATTAATCTATCTATCTATTTATCAATCCATTTTTTAATACATTTATCTATCAATCCATCTAACCCATCCACTCTTCCAATAACTCATTCATTTGTTCATCTATCCACCCATCCAATAATTCATCCATCCCATCCATACATCCATCCATCCACCCATCCAATAATCCATCCATCCCATCCATACATCCATCCATCCACCCATCCAATAATCCATCCATCCCATCCCAT